GGGCTCCATTGGGCTATTATATAATATTAAGCTAAATAATAAAGCTAAATAACGCCTTCTGAAGCTAGATATTCACGCTACAATTATGTTATAGTCTTACCTTTCAGATCCTGGAAGGGTTTTTCTATACATAAAGTTTGAAACTGTAAAAAAGAGACTTTTTGAAGAGGTGTCGCGTCACGCTCGAGAAATTTGCAAGAAATGTATGGGGCTTAGTAGCCTGGCCTTGTTATTCCTTGCCTACTCGTCAAAATGGCGGCGAAAACCGTCAATCCAACTATAGCTTGGTTTATGCATCACTTTAATATAAGGGCATTTGATTTATTATTAAAGATACATTGATTTATTTCATAAATAGGCCTCATTACTGCGAAAAGGAAACCAAATCGGTAAACATCGGTAAGAATCGATATCACACTTTTTTATTTCATCGATCGACCACGTCGGATAGTTTGCTTTATTGAAGGCTAAGTCGGAAAATATGACAGATATCATCATTTTATGACTCAGTTTTTATACTAGATATTACGATTTATGTTCTTGAAGGCAAATATAGAGTTTAAGTCTAAGAAACTCTACGATCAACGACCAAAAACATGTAGTAGATCTTATCAGCTGTTGTGTCAAACACGTGGTAAACATTTATTCATCAAAACATGACTATATTAAAAGTAAATTTGCACATTTTTTAACGACAATAGGTACATTCAAACATTAAGATTTCATTTCTGTATAATTTAGTTTATATATTAGAGTTTTCTTACCTCAAATGAGTTTATCTTTGTGAAGACGACGAGAAAACACGACAGTTGACAAGGGACGCCATTCCGACACTACGACGGCAATGCCTCATGGGAATTAAAACACAGGACGCCCACAGATCCTTTTGAATAAAAGGTTGCTATAGCTACGTTTTTAATGGCTAGTACAATCTTGGAGATTGTTTTGATCTCTTTTTTCTGGTTTCATGTCGTAGTAATAGTAAAGTACAATAGTTTGAGGACTTATTTTGGCATGCTTTGACCGCTTGTTTGCCCCCCAGTCAACTCCAAAAAGTTGCGCGATTTATAGTATCGTAAGAAAATTGGCCCAAAACCAAGGTTTTTGCCCAACAAATGTCGCCCRTTCCCACAGGAACGCCTGCTTTGTAGGCTAGTATTGGAGTTTTGCAAGTTTATCATTATTGGTATTAAGAATATTTTAGGKKTTTTTTTTTTTTTWAATACTAAATGCAAACGCAATGTAGCAGCAGAAAAGATATATAGATTAGATTTTGTATGACTGGAAGCTAAATTAAACTGAGTAGTCTGGGTTGCTAGTCTCACTTAATCCATAAAAGAACGTTTCTTAACCGATCAGAAGCGTTTTTGAAATTTTCCCATTATCTTGTTGTTAGAAAGTCAATTTTGATTGGCGGAATATTAATAATATTAATAATAATAATAATTTAATACTTATATGGCGCAAATTCGTATTTGAATATGATCAAATGCGCTTAACAATAGAGCCCAAGGTTTTTCGATTCACACTGTAATGACAATCATCRCCCAAGTTGGGGTGGTAGTACTGTAGTACTCCACCCCCCTCCCCCTCCCTTCCCCTGTGCATAAATCTCGCTCCAAGTCGACCCGTCTATTGTTTCCCGAGGAGTTTTTTTTCATATTCGAGTAAAGCGAGAATTTGTCGTCGAGCGACCGACGAAGAAGAGATGTACAGAAGACGGCGGGCTTTGCGAAAGTCCACATACCGCGTTGAGCATTCAGGAGGTAAGTTGCTCGGATAAGACACTGCATATTAGAGGCACCGACACGTCAAGTCATGCCCCATGTCGATCGTAAACTTTGCTCTAGAGACATTAATTGTAAATTCTCATTAAAAAGTTTTAGATTTAACCTTTGGGGCAAATGTTGACAAGTCACCTGACAATCTGCTGCCATTTTGAATGACAGCTAAGTGTGGTAAATTTGCTCAAGCTCTTTTCTATTAGCTTTACTAATGGAATACAAGCTGACAAGAGCTCTACTTACCTTTACTTATAAAATGCAATTGCCATTGCTGGGGATCAGGAATAATCACATATATTTATACATGCAGCACTTTAGAATGCAGCTCGATCTGGGGGACAAAATGATAGGTTCCAATTCTCAGTCACATAAGATTGGAATTCTTTTGTTGTGTCCACCACATCGAGCTGCTTTGATGTCACATGCAACGGGTCTATTACCTATTAGGTATGACACATACTAAAATACCGCACTCACTGACGACTTCAATAAAWCTCAAAACCGGAAAACCCGGAAAAGAACAGGAGAGGAGAGAGTCCAAAATACTCACATGAGAGTCTGAGTATGGTATTCGATCCCGAGATCCTAGAGAGCATTTATTTTTAGAAGGGAGGAAGGAGCGAAAGAAATAAGGGGAGGGACATCAAGTTTTTATTCTCAGGCAGTCAAAAAGGGGTCGTCATCAGTATTTTCATTCAATTCTAAGTTCACGAAACGATGTGTAGGGTCACGATATTTACTCTTTTGACGAAAGAAGGATTGTTGATTTTATGGTAGTCCATATGGATTCCTCCAGCCCTCCCGCTTTTAAAGAATGAATAATCAGCTGCCGTAGAGGTGGGAGGCACCCTTGAGGCCAAGTCCCATTAGCAACATTAGGCATAGGAGATGAGTCCACTCCTCTCACTCTAAAACTGAGTACATTATAAAATAACAAGAGAAAATAAACTAAGAGCAAGGAATCTCTGGTATTCATGCTGTTTGCTTACTTTTTTAATCAAAAGAAGACATGAGCAAACAGAGTAGAGCGCGCGCAGTATGGGTTCCTGGCCTCATCGATTCTTTCTATCCCTCCCCTTGGTCCACCAAATGTTAAAGATAAAACTGGTGAAAGGTCGAAAATGACTGACATCAAGCCGAACTCATGGTATCCTATGTTATCCTATATTTAGCTATGCAGCAATTATCATAACATATTTCTTGCAAAGGCAAGACCAGGCAAGTACTAAGCAGAGTTCCTCGAATACCTTCTTAAATCTCTTAGTTACTAATAGATTTCGTCTGCATTTAAAGCTACAATATGAACTAAGAGTCAGTTAGAGTCTTACTCAGAGTCAGTTGCGTTTGTATGTTGGAGCATAACACCACCTTTAGTATTCAGTGCATATAATTTGATATCTTGATGAACAGCGGAAAATAGCTAGAATCAAGAGAATATACTGTTATGTCACATTTATTCATATTCTGTTTTCTGAGTCATTATTCATTTACCGCCTTTCGGAGGTAGGGGAAGGCGGATGATTTTTGTTGCGAAATTGTAAGCTATAAAAGTTAATACTTGTCAATGTGTAGCTGATCAATCCGCCCTCCAGGTGAATAAGAACAATGTGATCTTCCCCAAAATCCTCCCACCCCCTCTGGTCTCCGCATAGGCATACCGATAATTTGTTGTTTTATAAAAACAATAAACCTCTTAATCTCCTCGCAGCCGTCATTAGTTTTGGACAGGAGGGTCCCTCCTGGTATTGGAGAAGACTATGTAACTTTAAGATAGATTTTAACCATGTATAACAAATATCATAATCATATCCAGAATTTATTAGATTTTAATAATTTCATTATTTGAAGTGAAGTAATGTTTAGATCACACTGATGGAACCTTATAGATGAATACCTCGGTATGCTGAGAGAAAGAGATATCAATACGCCTTTTGCAACGACTGGTCACGTGACCCTACCCCCATAAAAAGGAGACGTTGTGTCACAATGAACACCAGAAATGGAAAGAGCACCTCAATATATGTAAGAAAGCAAAGTTTCAGCTTATAACATGTAACAAAGGAGATTGAAACGGCTTTAAATACAAAATCGAATATCTTATAATCATTTGTATGGGGAAATGTGCTGGATGGCAAGCTATGGCATGCTATGCCATCCAACACATTTTCCCATACAAATCCTTATGAAATATTCGATTTTATATTCAATGCTTTATATTCAAAATTTTATATTCATTTTTCCYATAGTCAACATTATTAGCTAAATCTTTGCTTGCTCCAGTAATATTGAGATGCTCTTTCGATTTCTGGTGTTCATTTTGACACAACGTCTCTTTCTAATGGGGTACGTCACGTGACCTGTTGTTGCGAAAGGCCTATTATGGGGATTACCATAGATCATTAAATGGTTCAGCTTGTAATTATTTTAATAATTACAAGCTGAGCCATTTGATTAAAATTACCCCCGGGTAGTAATTGTTTGTTGAAAAGCCATGTCACGTAAGAGAAACAACACAATGCCTTGAAGATTTGAGAWCGCAACGTGAGAAATGTTTTCAAATTTCAAGAGAAAAAAACTTTATTGTTTTGACCCCCTGAAAGGGAATTAGTGCAAGGGGTCTATCACCTATATTTTTTAGTTGGTCTGTCATGGATCTGAAATGGGAGATCCGGGACTAGAAGGAAATTTTGTACTCATGTTTTCTGGAGTAAGATACAAAAAATCGCATCATTTCAGCTCGAATACTTTATATTCCAATCTAAAAGGAAACTACGTTAAAGTGCACATGAACCCTTCGACAATACTTTCAGTACTGATTCTACATGAAGTAAATAGTTGAATGGTAAAATATTTCTTGATTYGAGTAATGCGTTTCTAAGTTATGAAGGTTTATACTTTCAATATGCTAATGAGCGTGACGTCTATTAAGGCTTAATTAAATATACAAAATCGAACTGGTTCATAGATACAGTATTTAAAAAGCATCATTATTTCACTCATGGTTTACATGRAAGCTATTTARAATTTTTATTTTCAAAATRGCCAGCATTTAGTATTACTAGTTACAACAAAAACACTCAAATACCTTACCTGACGTCAYCATCATTWACATATTGGAAGTATAAACCTTCATAACTTAGAGACGCATCACTYAAATCAAGAAATATTTTACCAATCAACTATTTACTTTATGCAGAACCAGTACTGAATGTATTGTCAAAGGGTTCATTTGCACTTTAATAATTGTTCAGCTGCGGATTAATTACACTTTGAACTCGCTCACACGACGTACAACGTTTCTTGTTACAACTATAAAGTGTATGAACTACCTTGACTAATATAAGGCATTGTAAGTTTAAATTCTACATTTCTTATGACTCCTSATTAATTACATGTCTAATCAGAGAAAGTTGATAAGTTCCAATAAACATTTGTGCTTTTATTACTAAAGTCAATTGTTTTTATAGAAATTAATATAGAATTCCTTTGTGAACCAATTATTTTTACTATTGAATCTAGAATTACCTGTATGTTACTAACTGGCTTTTAACAACTTCTTACATGTCAGTAGAGGGTTTTTTTTTTGTTTTTTTGTTTTTTTTTTTATGTTCCTTAGCTGGCTTCTGATCATGTATCGATTTTTCGTCTAATTATTTGTTTTATAAAAATATATATTAGAACTGACTTTGTTGAGGCCTGTTCAATTTGCGAAATCGATAAAAAACAAAGAAGTAAGAAATGAGTAGAGAGGGGGGAAAATCGCGAATCGAAAAGAAAAATATGAAGTAATCCGGTTTAAAGCAGGGCACTCTGAGAGGTATCAGGTTGGTTTTGGCCACATTTGTAATATACCGTAAATAGAATAGTCCTTGTTTTACGGGTATATTAGTTCCAACAAATGACTAGAGCCGGATTTGACCCTTAAGTTACAAAGTATTTAYATTTCTTCAGTGGAGGTGCTAGTCTTTTACATGCCCAGTGAGCCAATGATATATTTTGTTTCATTATCATCATTTATACATTGGATATTTTAATAAAAAACTTGCTCCCGTAATTTGCCCTATCTAACGTGGCAAACCTCTAGGGGAATGAATAGCTATGCTTTTGAAACTCGTCGGGATAACATCATTATTCCTTTCGTATCCTTTGAGCCTTTGAGATACTCATGCATTTTTCGAAGAGTAAAAAACCGAAAGAAAATGACTTTTCTGGAGCTTGATCACGCTGAATTGGGAAAACATTGTAACACCACGAATAAGATCTACTGATAACTTCCTTTCTTACCATGTTTTTAGCGCTTTGACGATGTTTTATTTACTATAAAAGCAATTTAAATACTTTCGCATTTTCTTGGATTGACTCTGTTGATCTGGTCTCGAAGGCTGTCAAACTTCTCATCTCGCAAATTAAGCAAATCCTTCAAAGTATTATCTTTTTCCCTTCATTATCATTAGCACATTTCTCTGCGTATTTATCTTATCATATTTTATCTCGTATTATCGTCTTTTTCAAAACTGTCCAAGTAAAATATGAGCACAAGGCTTTGTCATTCGAAATCTTCGAAACAGCATGATAGACAGATAGATAGACAAACAGTATTGAGCAATTTTTAAAAAAACTATTACAAAAATTTCGACGTGTTTGTGCAATAAAAAAGCTTTGCAAGTGATTCAAGCAAAATTGTTTTGAAAGAGAGCATCTATTGAGTAACGCTCACTTCTCAATATGAGTACGAACAAGGTTTAGTTCTTAGCGTCAATTTTTTTGAAATACAGCATAACTTGCCCCAGGTCGACCTTTCTTGTCTTCCGCCACTAAAGAGTCTTTCCTCGGAGGAAATGTTTTATTCGAACATTCAAACATAGCTGAATTTTTTTCCTATTTTTCTGTAACTTCAGTATAAATGCTTAGATGCGACCAGAATTGGATACGCTTGAGTCTAATTCCATCACGCAAGCGCCATCTACTTCTCTGTCATTCTCTAAGCTTGGATTTGTCATCCTTGTGGTTTGCGCGTGACTTGTGGCATTGCTGTAATCCCGGCTCACTTCCAGCCTACTCGGCATTTCTTTGATATAGTTATCTTTACTTTCCTGTGATACTGCGCCACTGGTTGCGAACTTGGAGCCTCCAAAAATTTCTCTTGGTCTTTTTAGGATTTTATTTATGGTTCTAAGGTAAGCGACGCGAAAATGTACGATACGGAAACTGTAGACGATGAAGTTCATAGATGAGTTGGAGAGGACTACAGTTCGTATCCACATATACGTCACACCACCCAGTTCTCTAAGAACACCTTTTCCAACAGAGACATAAAAACCAAGCAGAGGAAACCAGCACAAGGAGAAGAAAAATATCACAATCGCAATAGTTCCAGCGATTCTTTTCTCCATTATTGCATCTTTAGACGTAGAGGACATAGCAGCTGCCGGATCATTACTTTTTACCTTATCGCGCGAGATTTGATAGAGGATGACGGCGTACGACAACACAATGATGATGTAGCTAATAATAATCAAGGCTATAGACAGTGAAAGAGTCGATGGAAAAGGAACACGGATACAGACAAACACAAAAGCTATTCCCCAACAAATAAACAACATGGTTTTCAATCCGTGCTTCCGCATGAGCGCTTGATGTTGATGTGGCTTCGTCACGACCAGCGCTCTGTCGATGCTGATAGCCGCCAGGTGGAAGAGCGAGCAAAAGACGGAGAAGTTCCCTGCTATGTCGTAGGCAAAGTCTATCTCAAGAACGCAGTAGTGCCGAAAGGTCTTGAAAGTTACCGAAGTGGCTTGTAACGGCTGCGCGCACATGGTCACGATTAAATCAGCGACTGCTAGACTCAGGATTAGAAAATTTGAGATTCTATACCGAAGTTTATGAGTATTCAAGACAGCAAAAATAATGAGAAAATTCCCAAACGTTCCAACGAAGACCAACGTGAAATTGATAATCATAATTGGTATTCCGTGGCTCAGAGGAAGATAACATGCTTCGTTGGAAATTCCGCGAGTCGTGTTCTGGTTTGTATCGCTCATATTCTCCAAACCCCAAGGCATCCGCTTCGTTTGTAAACGGAACTGGGACTGCAAATACGTCTCTTCGAGTCTCTGTTTTATGATTATTTAGCGCGCGATCACTGGGGATTGAACCCACCAATCAACGGAGAGAATAGACTAATATGGTTAGTGTGACATATGAGGGCGGAAGTATGACTTTTGATCTCTATTCACTATATCGTCTTTTGTCTTAATCTACAAAACTAATAATCTATGACTTCACGATTGATCCATAGAACAACAAGATGTAATTCGTTTCAATATTCGCTGACTGTGTTTGTCATTATGTCGGATTTATTACGAACGGTGAGGAGACTTTGATCAAAGTTCAAGAGATAAGTGAAAAACAATTCGAAACTGAAATTTTTCACACCCAGTTTGAACTAATCGAGTGATTGTTTGTTGTTAGTAAATTAATGCAAAACTAAATAAAGAATATGACTAGATCCTTCTGTCAGTCATTTTTCTCTTTTGGGATGAAAGACTCGCGCACTATACACTTTATTGGAAATGCGGCTGTTTTCATGGACTGTGATTGGCTGGTGTCTGTTTCCCTCCTTTAAACTGGTTTCGATCGGAAAGATTTTGAGTGCTAATTTAATAAATACTAAAAGGAATAATACATGAATAAATAAGTATTCAAACTATAAAACGAAATATAGAACTTTCTTAAGTACTGACGCAGTAGGAGAGCTACTTCCACAAAGTTCACATCCTTTGACGAAACAACTCGACTTTTTTCCATGACTATTTCATCAAGGTGAGATCCTTGGTGTTGCTAGGTGTTTCGTGAGTCGGACACAAAACTGTGTTCGTCATTTATCGACGGGTTTCATTCAAAGTTTACGTCACTTTCGGTTGCACATTACAAAAATCATGTTTCAATCTTAACTGATTAATTTATTATTTATTTATTTATTTATTTATTTATTTATTTATTTATTTATTTATTTATTTATT